GGGGCCATCTTGCTTTCCATTCAGGGGATTAAGCACCATCTTGATATAGTTTAGGTAATTAACCCGCGAACGTTTGACTGCACATTCTTCCTAGCTCCTTTGTTTGCCCTTTTCCCAAGTCAATAACGTTCACTCAGGTAATAACTTTTACAATTCATTTATTCCTTCATTACAGTGCTGATTTCTTCTCGTCACTGATTTTGTTCTAAATATTCTTCGGTGATATTAGGAAACAATAAAAACTCGGCAAACGGAATATTTCTGCAGACTTGTTGAAAATTGTATAATGCTCTGACAGGATTAAATTCGCGATAATTCATAAAATTTATGAAATCGTCTATTAATAATCTTAGAGTTCCCAAACGAATATTGCAATGGCAGTCAACGTTGTTAAAGACCCAATCTGTTTAGGGGCACAGAGGAAGACATCTAAGATCACGCAGCGTTTGTCTACAAGAAGAAAACACAACATCATTACTTCACATTGAGGCTACTGTGCGCGAACATGGCAAAACATAAATTCAAACATCGCTAACTAGTAGCGTAATTCTATACAACGTTTGATTCTAAACGAGCCACCGCATGGTTCGGAAACACAAAACTAATTCAACTTGAATTCTTTCCTGACCTACCGAAATTTCTTTTCGTGTTCTTTTTTACTTCATGTCTCGCCTCGTCAAATTCACGTGCTTCGAGCTTGATTTGCACACTGTGGCAGGGTGGCAGGTTTTCCCAGGGGGCTTCACCTGGATTAGAAACGGCCAACAGGGCTAATGCTTCTAATGTATCTGGAGATCTGGACTCTCTGGGCTCTCTGTGAAGTGGTGGTAAAGGTCTTAAGGGTGAGAATGCCATCTAAGTAAGCAACTGACGTAGAAACACAATTTAGACCTCTGCACACAACTTTTACTAACACTGTTAAGTGAAATTTTGTTGTAGCATTCTTCCTATACATCTAGCACACCTTTACTCGTCCATTGGTTTATTTCGCTTTCCCTTGGGTCATTCATCTTTCTGATTTGTTCGCCTTGTTCCATGTGCTTCCAACACACCCTAAAATTTAAATGCAGCACATGTAGTCTATTGTTTTACACCATTTTGCAATCTGACTGTAAGCACGTTTTCTTCTTAAACTGACTTTTTTACCTTTACATGTTTCTTTTTTACTTTATTTTCCTTTTTATAATATTTATTTTATTCTTTCTGTGACACTTTTTCCTTTCTTAAAATCCCGGAAAACCCACTTATCGTGGCTCCTTCACTTGACTGGTTTTTGAATATTTAATTACCTTTCTCTTTACAACTCTTTCCCTTTTCTCTCTGCTTCCTCTTCGCTCTCCTATTTCCCCTAAAAACCTTGCAGTCACTTTATAAAAATGTTGTACTAGCCTCTGCGAACCTTATTTTTCCTTTCTGCCTTTTTTAAATTTTATTTTTCTTAATGCGCATGCGTTGTGCTTTGCGCCTGCACCTTGCACAGGGGACCCTTTTTCCTCTCCCACATGTCTGACTTGACTTCTTCGTTTACACATATAAGTTCACTTTTTACTATCGTATAATAACAACTCATGTGTCCTTTCTTTATGTTCCGACGACTTCCGACTGCCGATGTTCTGCGATGACTTTCAACTGTCGATGATCTCCGACGACTCCCGATGATATCCGATGACATCCCGAGCCCTTGTTTGCAAACATTACGTGATTAACTTTCGGGAACCAATCAGAGGGCTCCAAAGACAATCAAACTCATTTGCTTAACAATGTGTCCTACACAGACGACCAATGGTGCTCACTGCAAGTTAGCTTTCTTAAGTGCAGACTTTTTCAACATTTTCTCATACAATTCCTTATTATGAGTTCACAAAATACTCTGCTGCCGGCATCAACACTTTAACCTCACCACCATTGCGAACATGCTTCACTCGACCAGCCCCACCTAATTTCCAGTCTTCAAAATACAGCTACTCTACCGCCACTTTACTGAGGTTCACTCGGTTTCCTCTCCAACCATTTTGAGGCTCAATGGCAATCAAATCTTCTTCTAATTTTTCACGTCTCCAGTACAAATTGCAGGCGCTCGCAATTGTCACAGCTTCTATCAGGGGGTTGAATCCCGCAATTTCTTGAAATTCTTCAATAAATTTCAGACAGGTCAAGGTTATTCAAGGTCAGCAAGTGACTAAAACAAGTTCATATGGGTCAAACCAAGTTTAAGAACGTGATCAGGTCAAAGTTGTTCAAGGTCACTGTTCAAAGCTGCCCTATTTTGTTTTGCTGAGTTGAGTGAAAAAATTTGCATGTCCTTTGTGTTTTTCTAGGGCTCTAGATTAGCATACAAAATAACTCACTGGGACGAATTGTCTCACTATTGAGCTCATATTTCCCTTCTGAGAGTTGATTTTACTACTCAGCTTATTCCCTCTTTCCCAAGTCAAGAAATATACGACAATTTCAACGCACACATTCTTTATTATCCTATTTACAATAGGAACGTATGAAAAAACCCTAGTGGTTTTTCGTCCTTAATAATAAATCCATTCTCCATAATATCTGCATACAGATTGATACATTTCTGACACGCCCGAACGAGATGCAAAGTGAAAAAAAAATCCTTTCTATATTTGACCAGCTCATCAATACATAGTGTATTAGCCATAAGACGGTAGCAATGATCGCAAGCGTCATTTTCATTACTGTTAATCCATTGGGTTGAGATGCAAATAGCTCGACATCAAATAAGCAGTAAAGACGATCTACAAAAAAAAATATGAAAGACATATTTATTGTCACTTAAAAAACAAACAACTAGGAACGTGTGGTCTTGCTAATCGAAAAGCGTCCTTGGTTGTAGTGCCCTTACATTACACTGTGGGACGTGTGACCAAGACTAGTTCTGGTCGCCCATTTAATTCTTACATCACGTAATCTTCAAACAGAAATGGCATTATTGGTCTTAGATGTCAGTATGTACGCTCAAAATGTTCTACGGCTTCGTCAGATTTTTCAACTAATTCATCTTTTAACAAAAAGGAATCATCAATTGTTAACTGAAACACGCAAATTCGAAGAATGCAGGTACATCTTGGGTCTGTATAACACCATTCAGTAAACCCGCAGATTGGTAAACATCGGATGTCTTGCAGAGTTTTTCTAAAGAAAAAAACCTGGGTTAAGCCCGTACGATTCAAACACTTTTTTCGAACAAAAAGGTGTTTTTTACAACATTTTTGCCTGAATATAAACGAAATATTAATACACGTTCTAACAAATAATTGACTGGTTCTTCATTATCACGAAGACGTTGTCCGTCCACAGTAACACCTTCCACTACTAAATGCATACAATGTAAACAGGGTTGGTTGGAAAAGGGTAGCCATTGTGCTGATCTACAGTACTTGCACTTTTTCAATTCATGTAAAATAACTCTACAAAAATAAAATAAAACAAGCGTGTCTAAAAACACGTTTTTACACTAAAAGACTAAGCGACGCCGTCTCACCTTCGTGAAATAGAGTGACCTACATACAATTCTCTATTAAGTTCTTCTTCGCAGTTTTTATCAACAAACTCTCCCTCATCATCACTTATCCATCATCAGGTGGGAATGTTGGCTTTGACTTGGGTGTTGAATAGCACAGCTGTGGCAAGGATTCAACTTTTCTTGTTGAATGAGTTTGTCAACCATAGCGGCATTAGTAAGTTAGAGCACATGTTCAATAAAACTGGCTATCCTGACACTCCTCCCACACTCCTCCTTTTTGAAATGGTTCAAATAAAATTACTGGCATTGCATTACAGGCCTGAAAAAAACAGTTCAGATTGCGCAGTCTTTCCAGAGATAAATTGTTGGACACATATTTCTGCATTTCTGCAAACATAAAACGTAACTAAAATGAGCAAATTCGCATTGGTACAACATAGGGATACTTTCTCACAGAGAATGTTACAAAAATCAAAAGAATCGAATAACGGAAAAAAAAACTCAGACTTAACCTATTTTACAAACTTAACAAGGATTCTTAACCTATTCTCAACCTATTTACAAACTTAACCTAATACTAACGACCTATCTACTTCATATTCATATTCAGTCATTGAGTTTTGTGAAAAAAGGTTTTTTGCCTTCACAAATAAGGAATGGACGGATGGGGAAAACTCTCAACAAGTAATGTCACAGTTCCTCCCAGAAGAAGCCAGTTCCATAAAATAGGGTGGAGTAGAGGTTGTGTGCAGCGGTTACGATCTTTGGCACACAGGAACAGTGTTGTTGGTATAGGTAACAAGGAAAATCCTCTGGGTTGTTTTTGACTAGTTTGTAAATCAGGAGAAGGAAGTTCGTAGAAAGATGTCCTGTTATAAGGGTGAGGAAAGAGTCCCAGTGGCATAACAGAGGTGGCTTTGTAGATTGAAGCGACATTCACAGCCAAGGTTCTAGCACCTGGTTAAGTAAAAAGAAGAGGGCATCGCAAATAGGATAGGGTCAAACCAGGGACCGAGATCCCGTCTTTGAACATATCAATCTTCCTTTCTCGCCAGAATTGACTCATTTCTCAACTGGTTCTATAAACGGCACCACATCCAGGTTGTTGTACCATACGAGAAAATCTTCAAATGTCTGCTTGTTATTTTCTTCCCACACTTGCTGGCAATACTCATATTCTTGTTCTGTTATGTTGGCGTTTTTGAGAGATGAATAGAAGGCAGCATGAGGGGTAGTGATGTCTCGTTCAGCTTATCTAACCCATCGACCCACTCATACGGGAAGAAACCTTTGGTCTGCTCGCATTCATAAGCTCTTAAAAACTGGTCATAGCTGAATCCCGGCACAACATAGTTCAAAATGTCCAGGAGCTTGAGAAAATCTGTCTTGAGACACATATGATTGCTGTTTCTTTTCACAGTGAATTTGATTGGTTGAGTCTCAATGAGGTAGGGAAATAAAAAAAAGCGTTGAGATCATACTTGCCAGAATTAAAGCCTAGCATGGGTAGTTCATTAAGTTAAACGTTTAGTTTTTCTTCTAGTTCGTTCAACACTTTGTTGTCTCTGGTCTGTTCTTGACCAAACAACACATCTTCATACAGGGCTAGCTCATCTCGCTGTTGTTTTCTCTCTTGTCTCCTCTCACTGTCTAGCTCTACATTCAGTCTTCTGTAAAAAGATATATCTTCCTGTTCTTCTGTCTCATCATCAAGAAAGGCGCGGTCTTCGTTCTCCGATTCAATCTCTTCATCCTCTTCGTCATCGCTTGCCAGCAAATCAATCCCTCTGCTGTCATCTTCACTCTCTTCTTCACTTTTTTTTTCTGGTCATCTCTTGTTTCAGGGGCTCTTACGGTCTTGAGCGCTTCTAATACGTCTGCGTACTGTTCATGAAGGAGAGAGGAACTTTTCAGGCTTATATTGGTGAGGTACTGGATAAATTCTGAAATAAACTCGTTTGGGCCGCCGTTAGACACGAAACATTTGGGTGCTTGGTGACCAGACACTTTACTACAGACGCTCACAGTCAAAGGTACATGAGATGACTGCCAATTCAACTTGTCTTTGTTTTTCAGTTCTTGTGCTTTTTCTTGATCAAAATAGCACTCGAAGGTCGCATGGTAGGGAAAATAGCGGGCTTCTTGAGGGACAATAATACCCTCTTCTTCTAGTTGCTCAAACCATGTTTTAGGGACATGGTACGCGCCGCCAGGATACTTGAGCTGGACTTTTCCGTCACAGGTCTTTTTGTGTCTATTCAATCTGGACGATTTCTTCCAGTACTTGCCACAGAAAGAACAGCAAAGGATTTACTGCATCGGGCCAGGTCTTTAATATACGAAAAATGGTTTTCGTAAAGGTTCAAGTAGAGAGTACCAGCATAGTCGCGATGAGAGCAGCGGTGGCGAAGTGTAGCGGCGATGTCGGGAGCATTTTCTTGATCGTCTTCTTCCCCGTGGTTATGAGTAGGTGCAAGACTGTACACTTGAATATTGAAGTCATATACTTTCTCCAACTTGTCTAGTTCGGACAACTTGACTCCATGAAACTTCTTTTTAGACAGATCAGCTTCTCGGTACTGTTGATAATAGTGCTTAGTGTCCCGCTCCAAATTTTTGGTGTGACAGCTGTTATGTAAAGCCAGACAGCGGAATAAAAACAGATTATCTTCATAAGGCTTGCCTCTTTGAATGTTACGATCCAATGGAGTGATTCCCATGTTGCCTATGATATAACCTGGTAGATATTTGCCATGGCCGATGGGATGATCGCGGATTTTCCAAACAAACCACGTCAGATTCGTCACGAGATCCACGACCCATCCAGAGTTAGGCCTCTGCTGGCGTATCTACTCTAGGAAGTCAATGTTGTTTACTTGTTCATACAAGCGGTCTAAATCAGCTTGATAAGAAATGAGGAAAGGTTGTTCCAACACCAGGTTGTTGTTGGCAGATGGATGGTGATATTGGAGAGCCTCAGTCTCTGTATTATGGAGGATAAAACCAAACGACAAGTTGATTTTGAGAGCTGTAGGTTGGTCAGCAAAGATGCGGTTCATTTGTTCAAGGAGAGCAGTGGGACTGATCGTGGACAGGCAGAAATTATACCAATCTTGTAGTCGGTTTTTGAATCTGGTCCAGATTTGTGGCCAGTGTTGTCTGTATAATTGGGCAATATCTGCTTCGCCACTTGAAACAAAGTTGGTAGGGATGAGAATAGGATCAGGTTGCCAGCTAGCAATGGTGTTTTCAGCACTTGTCATGGGGGCTAGTTGTGAAGCGGTACTCATACTTGCTTGGTCCGACCTCTTAGATCTTTTCGCAAATGGAGCATTAGAGTATTCTAAATAAGTGAAATGAAAGATTACTTACGGTTTCCATTGGGTTCCAAGTGGGTAATTCAGTGGTTTCGCCATTCCACTACAGGTAAGTAAAAGATAATAACGTAAGATTAAGCGCACAAAGAACACTGCGTTCGATGAAAGAAAAATAATTTTATGATCATAAATGAAAACCGTACTTCCTCAAAGAAATTATCCCATGTATCTTGCGTTGATAACGGTGCCGACTCGTTATTGTAGATAAGAAGAGAAGAAATCAGATTACTTTAGGTTTTTTAAAATTGTTTTGATGTAGTGAAAGTCAACTGTTTGAACAACAATCTGTTTCATCCTTTGATGTTGAAAAGGTTGAAGTGTCTTTTTTTTTTATCAGGATACGTACCGGTAATGAGTGGTGTTTCTTTGTCTTTCTCTCGGTATGTGTAATTATTGTTTCTTGCTCTTTTTATCAGAATGTGTGATACTGTTTGTTCATTATAAGAAATTGGAAAATACTAATGAAAAAATACTCACCTTACAGCTTGGAATGAAATCCTGACACAATGCAGCGTATGCGACTCGTTGCCAAACCCAGTTTGCACTGTTGCTGAGCCAGGCGCACATACTGAAAATTTTCGCATACTGACAGTATGACGATACAATACTTTCTCTTTACGCGGGGGAAATTAGGGGTGCCTCATCGGGTTCCGGCCTCTGTTGTGGAACCCTGTGGGGGCAATTATAAACAGAATATTCAGGCAACAATTTATTTTAAAAACATCAACTCTTAAACATGTATGATCGTAAAGCAAAGATACAAGGAACATTTCAAGTGTACCAGATCGGTGAAGATCGCGCGGCCTGTTGCGGTATAACTACGTACAGGTCGGAGTCAAAAATCAAATCAAAGTTGAACGAACTCATGCCTTTAACCACTTTCCAAGTATCATGTTTTCTTTTCTTAAGCCACACAGTACTCCTAGAACCACACCAGATCGATCAGCTAAGCTTCTCCATCTCCAAAGACTATTGAGAACGTCCTGCTGCCGGACGGCCACAATGCTCTTCTGAACCTCCATGATGAGAACATTTTATTAGTCTTTTCAAAACTTAACCAGTCAAACAACACAACCACACGCTAATCACCACTACCGAAGTATAACTAGGCCAGCCAAAGCAACGGATGGGGGAATAAAACGAAGGATTTTCGATGATTGTACCAGTAATGGTGATTTTGAATTTAGTGTTGACCCAACAAATTTATTCTGGAGACAAATGGTGCGCATGCGCATAACCGTGATCGCATGCCTTTGACTCAAAATGTGTGTGAAGGCCTAAGTAGAATCTCAAGTAATTTTACTTTGCATCTCATTTAAGACGGAAAGTTGAAACGATTCAATAAAAGTCTCAAGGGACTTCAGAGCTTTAAGAAAGGTGAAGCATGTCAATTAATCTTAATTGCATTGTGTGAGAAAACAGCCTTAAGTTAACCAGAAGTGAAAAAGAAGCAGTTGTGTGTGAAGCTTTATTTTACTTGAAGTATTTAAAATTCACTCGTCTTGAAAAATATTTCTTAGCTTATTTCTGAATCCCCTCCTTGTCTTGGTAAGCATCAATGTAAGCATCTTTCTCTTCTTGGGTCCTACACTCGTCAGGCCATCTCGCCGATTCTTGCTTGATCTTAAGCCAAGTGCTTACATAATCCGCGAAGAGCCCCACCTTTCCATCCTCTTTGCAGAAATGAAACACTTCATGAATCTTTAGGATGCGATACCCTAACTCGACAGCTTTCTGTAATTCGATTGTAGCCTAGGTTCCTCTTAGGGTTCTCTCTTGATCCGTGTGACAACAGATGTTGGTTCGTTCTAACCATGGTTTTTCTTGCTCCTCTTTGACACGAGCAGCACAGAGAGGGAAAGTCAGTTTGCCACCAGCCCTATAGGGGAGGACAGGGTGTAACAAAAACTCGGGGGCCAAGATGTTCACTTTGGCGACGCCAAAATAGTGGTGAGTATATTGATCCCTAGGATTCGTATAGATGAGGGGGAACCTGACGTGGGTACTCCATATACTTGTTTACCCATGGGTAAAGTGACGTCACATCTGAATATTTAATAATATCGGGGTCTTCGACTTTACAATGTAATGCCACAGCATCCATTCTTCCTCCATAGAAGGCGTCACGTGGATTGATGGGAGGGACCATTTCTAGATCTTGTAAGAATGCTTTTAGGGCAGGGTTGGTCTTCTTTTCTTCTTTAAAGTCGCACTCCCATTTTTCCACAACTGTATAGCCAGCTTGACGCAGGGTTGCTGCTTCCTCTCTGTTGCTTCATATACCTCTTGGACGGTTTGACCCTTATGGAAATTGCGGCGCACATTTCTTTGTTTTTTAAAACAACTGGGAGAGCTGTGGTACCAGCATCCATAAAATTCGTAGATGGTATTGGTTACTTGGGCAATACCATCCACGAACATCATTTCAGCTGGTGTCAGGACCTGCACTTCTCCGCCGTTTCTTACGTGGCGGACACGCCCCATCCCACCCAGCAAATGGTCTTGATAATACAGCCATTCCAGAGCAATGGTACTTTGGTTGATGTGGTTACCATGCCATCCCCCTAGAGGCTCGAGAGCGATGAGGTTTTCTTCCAGTTTTCCTTGCGCCAGAAGTGGTTGCAGGCAGAGGCAATGGTAATTGATTGGATGAGAGGATTGAAGCCGGCGATATCTTCAAATTCTCACACGAATTTAAGACAGCCTTCCTTGAGTAGCTTTACATCGCTTTTGCAATATTTTAAGAGCTCTTCTTGAAAATCAAATACAGCGTTCTCGGAGACTTTCTGCCAGTACCACGTCATAAACTTCTCCCTTTTCTTGCTGTCCATACTGTCTGGATCATATTCGGACATGGGCGGATAACTTCCTGAATAATTAAAATTTTCTTCGCAATTGAAGGCATGAGGGAAGTACCCCTTGTGAAGCTCTGATAGATTAAATGTAGCAGGAAATCTTTCCAATGGCATGGCAAGGAAATTGAGGCTATCTTTAAAAATGAGGTCGTCGCTTTCACGGTCTTTCTTCAGCTCGGCCTTGATCATAGAGTGCTTCCTTCATTGGGTCATCAAAGGAGTCATCTTGTTGCTGTGGAGGGGCTTCTTCTTCAATGGGCTGAATGTAGCAACGGTGAGATACATGCATAAATTCCCCACAGTTTCTACATGTCGCATGGTAGCATTTGTGAGGTTTTTTAGGGATGATTTGATATTCAGCACAGTAGAGTGGGCATTTCTTCCATGTGTCACAAATACTCTGGTCTCCTTTTTTCTCTTCTTTAGTTTAACATACAATTGCAATCAGGACAATGGATGGTAGGCTTAACCCAGGTGGCAAAGTTCGGACAGGATTTATTTTGACGGTAACAGGCAGAGCAATTTTGGCCTTCGCAGTTATGGTGAGGTGCTCCTCTACATCATAGCCTCGATTACAATGGTGACAATAATAGGATACTAGCGGGACAATTGCTTGTGGTGAATGAACAATGAAAGCTCACTCTGCGAAATTTATGCGTACACACGTTTCGACCTTTGAGCTGAATTTGCATACAAACTCAACCAAGCATAGGCGATTGACGTCAATCTAACTTCATTTTGCTGAGCTAGGCAAGTTGTATGACGCATTTGTTTTTCCATAAAGACTTGTTGAACGTTCTAAGCTGCACGTTTATGTTTTTCCCACGTTGTTGCTATATCTAGTGTTTGAACCTTTTAGCTGAATTTGCATACAAACTCAACCAAGCGTAGGCGATTGACATCAATCGACCTTCATTTTGCTGAGCTAGGCAAGCTATATGATGCATTTGTTTTTCCCTAAGGACTTGTTGAACATTCTAAGCTGCACGTTTAAGTTTTTTTCCCACGTTTTTTGCTATATCTGTTGCTTAAAGTCACATTTATTTTGCCTCTATCTTTGACTTGGTTTTTATTCAAGGGATTAATTAATGCTGATGGAGGTCACGCTCTGGCCACTCCAGTCTTGGCTTTACCATTTTAACACACAACATGTATTTTCATGCTGTTCCCTCCCTTTTTCCTTGTTTCTCAAGTCAATAATCAATCACACTTATTTGAACCTGCCATTTCCTCTTTATTTCAAACCTATTTACAGGCGGGACATATGGAGATGCCTAGAGCTCTCCGCCCATTTGAATAAAGTCCAAAAATAGGTTAACATATAAACTAATACATTTTTCTCTTAAAAACATTCTTCTTTCTCGTATTGCGTTTATATAATTCCAGAAGCCAAAAGCATGGAAATCATCTATCAATAACCGATAATTTAAAATTCTTACACAATGCTGACAACTTTCTGTGTCTGTTGTATTTCCCCATCACGTGTATTCGCATACTTGTCTGCTTTTTAGTTGTTCAAACACTTTTCTGGAAATATATAAAAGCAATTTCGGTCACCTAAGTTACATGCAGACTTAAGGACAATCTAAAGTTGTCCGCCCATGACTGTATACTCTTGAAATAACGTGGCATACATGACAATACATTTTTCACGCATTTTTCGTCGCTTTTCCGAGCTTGATTTCATGTACTTCCATTAATTTACATCAATGTAATCTTCTAAACATAATTGTGCTCTTAAAATCCCTACACAATGTGTACATAAATCGTCATTTGCTGTATTTAACCAATCGGTAAATTCACAATAGTCTCTGTCTTTTAGTTCTTCACAGACGGATCTGAAAATATATAATCGCATGTTTTTTAGAAACAAGTTTTACAAATAATGATTCTCCTGAAATAAAACGTCGGCGTCTGGGATCTGGCTATAAACCCTACGAAACTTGATGTTCGCCTCAATCACATCATATTCTTCATAATTCATAAGTTTAACATAATCTTCTAGTAGCAATTTAAATACGCCTAGTCTATAATTGCAGCGGCAAATTTCTGTATTATATGCCCACAAGGTGAACGGGCAGTGTGGCAGGCAGCGTACATCCATAAGTACTTTTCTATAACAATAAAAAGGAAAAAGGACATCGTTCATTTACAGCACACACCATTTTACAATGACAATGATACCAGAATTAGATTTGCAGGCCATTCTACATTCAATCTTTTCACATGTTGCTCTAAATAAAATGTAAGAACCACACAGTAAATGAGGGGGTCCAATTTGTATCCGATACTTGTTTCAACAGCTGAAGTAGGGCTCTATAAGCAAAACAACTTATTACAAATCAGCTGCATTGGTAGTCTGTTGGGTCCCCAGTGTTCTAGATAGGCGGTCTATTGTCATTCAAGCCTTCTGATTGGTCGAGAGGATATTTCGATCTATTGTTGGGGAAAATTGGAAATATCTTAGAACGAGGCTTGGGCGTAGTCGGAAGCGAACAGAGAGGGCTCGGATCCCTTCGGAACGGGGTCGGAATTATGTTAACAAGGGATGATGTCATGAGGCAAGAACGAGAGACAGCATTCGCAAGGCAGAACGCAGGCACAGTGACGAAAAACTATGTGAATAAATTTGTTTAATTAAATGACAAGTATTATAAAGTCAGAGATATTGGAATAACAGTCGATCAGCCAGTCAAGAACGAATCCATTTACCAATAAATCGAGAATGACTGGATTGCCTTGCGTTCCGTTAACTGGATATTGGTACAATGGAATGGAAGGACCATCATAGGCGCGCAGTAAATCTAAAATGAGAGCGATTCGAGCATCGTTAAATTTCTTTTCATGCTTGTTCTCTGTCACAACCATGTCAATCTAGAAGAAAAAGTGTGTTTAAGAAATATTGCTTGAAGGTAAAGGATTGTGAAATAGTCATTGACGTAAATAAGATTACGACTAATCCCCAAAAACAAAAGGCAAATGAATTGCAAAATAAAATAAACGTACCGAGTATTGCTTGTTTTTTCGTCTACACCAGTGAGGACAACCGTAAAAGCTAGGATAAGGTTTGTTTTCCATGACAGAAGAAAAACGTTTGTAGCCACTTGAAAACGAAAATGCCACGAACATTGGAATGCCTGTTCGAAGGCAACAGGGAAGGCGGGTAAATTCTTAATTCATTTTTTTCCTTCTGTCATTGGTCATGAAACATTGGGTCCAGAACATAACGATTACTTGAACCTCGAAAGGTAGCAGGTTGCCTAACGGCTTGTTTTTTGGGTCTACTAAGCCCTTGTATTTCATTGCTTTGTTAGCAAAAACAGCACAACAGAATTGTGTTGCCATGTGCTCTATGCAAATGCTAGGTGTGTGAAAAGGGACTTTAAGATCCGACGACGGCGGGTGTCTACGACGGCGGCCGTGAGCTGGGGGGAATGGGGAGAGGTCGCCGTCGTATGGCGCGAAAAATTGACCTTAAGATCTACTGTGGAGGAGGCGGACGGCTTCATAACAAGCTTTCGGGGGCTTTCAGTATTTTAGTGAAAGTATGGCATCCTTTAGAGATATACGTAACCTTCTTGTCGAAAGTTTTGATGACGGTGATATTTCCGAGGACGAATTTCTCCTCCTTTACGATGCAAACACCTCGAAAAACCCAGATTTCCCTTATGACTGCTATGGATCGTTCGACTTAAATGAGATGGACGACAGCGAGTGTTTGGCTGAGTTTCGTTTTCATAAGAATGATGTTCCCGTCCTTTTAGAAGCCTTGCAGCTCCCTCAGTCTTTCACGTGCCACCAAGGAACCATTTGTGACGGAATAGAAGCGCTTTGCATAACACTGAGACGATTTGCTTACCCATGCAGAT